TTGGGAGAAATCAGCCTTCGTGGAGGACTTTTTGATTGAACAAACACGCATTTGCATGGTGAGGAAAAACACGAAAGCATCCCGCTGTTAACCTGAGGCCAAGGGGACTCTAAATTCCTGATCCGTCTACCACTGAGCACTATGGTCATTGCTCTCCTGGAGCGGAATTCGTATCAACCATCCATAGCCGGGATTCGAACTCTATTCCCTGAACCACCACAGCTCGATTGAAGAAATTGTGCTTAAAACAGTTTGCACTCTAAACGGGAAAACGGTGAGAATGGCCTCTACCCGCGCCATCATAGATTTTAGATTAAATTTTTGATTTTTATTTCCTTGATGGTTTTTGAACTTAACGCACTTTTGTTATTATTGTTTAATTAAGCAGAGCAATATCTTTCCGAAAAAGGGGGAAATAGAGGGGTAACAATGTTATATTAAGGGAATTAGAGAATTTTTAGAACTTCTCTAAAATAACCCACAAAAATCTTTGAAGCTATAAAGATTTGCGATTCGAAGTTGTTATTCAGTTGTGTAAAACTACACATTTGTCCATTTTCAGATTTTATAAAATTTTATTATTAAACTATTAAAAAATGATTTGGATGATTCTCATTACGTAAATTGCCCATGATATTCATCAAAATTTAAAAACAGAAAAGTGTGTACCACTTAACTGTCTTTCAAAAACTACAGATCACAAAACTGTATTGGTATAATTTTGTCTAAAAAAAAATTTAAAAGAGAATCTAAATTCTTTGTATTTCAATTCCAAATAGATGACGCCCTTGTATTTTGCATGCATCGTTAGATACTGTTGAATAAAGTAATTATACATCATTAGCTTACTTGAGAAAATAAAATAAGAAGGCTTAAAAGCATATTTAGAATTTTCTCTTTCAGTCTCAACCCTTTCGACAATTCGTCGAGGGGAGAAAGCCTCATAACGGATTTAGGCTGTTTTGATTTCATTGAGAAAGCGTCTCATCATCATCATCATAATTGGAAAGACAGTCCAATGTGAACCAATGCCTTCATCTGAAGATTTCTCCACGACGACTTCTGATTTATCTCTGATCTCCAATTCTTTTCATTGATTGAAAGAAAATCAGACTTCACTGAGTCTGCCCATCTCAACAGCGGCCTTCCCCGTTTTCTTGTTCCAGTGGGTCTAAAAAGCAGTATCTTGTGTATTGTATAGTCATCACTCATTCGAATCACGTTTGCCAATCAATTTGTTCTACTTATTTTTATGTATTTAATAATATCAAGTTGTTTATAAATCTTGCAAAATTTAAAGTTTAATCTCTTCTTTCAGTTATTGTTTTCATTTACACCTCCAAGTATACTCTGCAAAATCTTTCCCTCAAATATTGCGATGCAATTTTCTTCTAGTTTTGCCATTGTTCTAGCTTCAGAAGCGCATGTCAAGACTGGCAGGACAAGAGTTTTGTAGATTAATAACTTTGCTTTGAAGGTATTTTAAAAGTATTAATTGTGTCAAAAAGATAATTTCTATTGTTACCATCAAAAGCATCCTTGAAATCAATAAAAATATGATGTGTTTCAATGTTACATTCCATTCATTTCTCTAAAATATGACGAAGATAAAATATCTGATCTTTAGTTGATTTTCCTGCACGGAATCTACATTGATATTTTCCTATTTGTGAGTCAAGAAATGGTAACAGCCTGAGAAATAAAATTTTAGATAGAATTTTATTAGTTTTACAAAGAAGACAAATGACGCGATAGTTGGCACATGTCATAGGATCTCCTTTCTTATGAATTGAACACAAAATGCTAATATTCCAATCCATTGGCTTAATCTCAGAGTGCCATATGTCAGTAATAAGTTCAAATAAATTCCTCAATAAAGTAGGCTCACAATTCCTTAGTAGTTTCTCTGAAATTAGATCATATTTCGAAGTCTTCTTATTCTTTAAGTTTTTTATTGAAGCCCTGATCTCCTCAATAGTGGTAGACTTAACTTCTGTGTCATTTATGAATTCAGGTGCAGTTATTTTAACATCCTCATAATTTTCATTAAGACGTTCTTTAAAATGTTGATACCATCGTTTTAAAATGTCTTGTTTATCAGTAATAATTTCACCAAATTTGTTTTTGTTTAGACTAGAGGTCTGCTTAAAGTTCAATCGATTGAGGTTAATTTCCCGATAGAATGTTCCGCATTCATTAATGGATTTCAGATGTTCAACATCTTTAAACAATTCTTCATCACAGGCTCTTTTCTTTTGCCTAAAGTTTTTCTTCACTTCTTTTCTGCATCCATGGTACTCCTCTGCACTATTTCTTACGTGTGCTTGTATCATATGTTTATATTCAACATTCTTTTTATCATTATCAATGGCACAATCAAAATCATGCCAATCCTTAACCAGTTTCTTAGTTACTTTACCAATCACAGTATTGGCAGCGTTACAGATACTGTCTATTATGCATTTCCATTGATTTTCCACAGTACCGTCACAATTCTTTAAATTTAACTGTTATTTTACTTTTTCGCAATATTCGTTATATTCGCAATATTCGGTAATTTTTACTGAAGCGTTTAAGTAATGGTTTTGGCAAAACTAACAATAAAATATGGCTTTATATTGCGCGATAAAATTTGATGAAAGCCGCAAAATTTGGTAATTTTTTCATGATCCTTAGAGCATTTTATGAAATCCGTTTTTTCGATTAAATGTACTTTTCAGTTTCGCACTTTTTACTATTTGGTTAAAAGAACATTTATTTAAAAAAAAAATTAGTAAACCGCTACCATATGAACGGAAAAAGTACCTAATGAATGGTTTAAATACCGTATATCTAAATTTTACTAACCAAAGATTTTTCTTTCTTTTTTTTTGGTCAAAAATGTCATTATCTACACAATACAGTAGTTTTGTAAATTTTGTTTTCTTGTTGTATGTACAACTTTTGTTTGGCGTTCTATAACTTTGCTGAAAATGAACTTAGGATTCTGATTATTTTGCAAGAGTTCAATATAAGCACATAATTTTTTTTTTAAATTATCGACTTTTTTTGTAAAATATTTTAAAGAGCATTTACAATTTAATTTTCTTTAGCGCTGCAGCTTGATGAAAAAAAGAAGTACTATAATTACTTGCAAACGCGATGTAAGTCATAAAAATATTTTAATTGCTTGGAATAAATTTTAATTTATAGTTAAGTATGTCCTAATTAAAACCCCTTGTTGTCAAAAAATTGAAACACATAAAATAGTATCAAAATTGAAAAAAATATATTTTTCGAATTTTTATGAAAAAAATATTTTTTTTTGCAAAAAAAAACATCATTACTAATATTTAAGTGCAAGTAAAAATTTAAGCCTCATACGATTCTTTAACCAATTACAAAATGTTTACTTCATAGCCTTAGATATATTAGAATTCAAGCAATCATGCACCTTGTTAAAATAATTTTAATTGTTAAAAACAGATTTTGAGATAAATTGTAGAATAAATAGCCTAAAACAAAATACTTGAGTTTGCAGACGATTCCAATTTCTAAAATGGGTGTACTTTTTCGGTTCGATAGAAAATGTTTCGATAATGTTAGTTCGATAATGTTGACGCCTGGGAGGTAGAGTTTCGCGCTGTCGTGCCACAGGTCCCTGGTTCGATCCTCGGGCAAGGTTGACTCAGCCTTTCATCTCTTCAGTGGGTCGATAAATGAGTACCAAGCATGCTTGTGGATTAAACACTGGGGGTTCCGCGTTAGGCTGACCACCTGTCTGGAATATCTGCTCCTGCACTCCAGAGCTCAAGGTCAAGAAAACTGAGATGGGCACAGTAGGCTTTGGCCCTCTATGGGCTGTCGCGCCGCTGAGTTTAGTTTAATGGATGTTTTATTTTTGATCCAGTGAGTTTCAGTATTTTCACTGTAACTTTAGAAGGTTTTTGAGCATTAACTGATATTTTGTATCCAATTACTCAAAATAAAACAGATTGTAAAATATTTATTTTTTTAATAAAATGTAAAAGTCATATTAGAGGAACAATAACATAAGTTTCGCTTCTAGTGAGATCCCTCACCAATGAAACTTTAGGAACCTTTACCAAATAAAACGCTTGTCTTTTCATTTATTGATTTTTCTCTAGAAAAACAAGTTTTTCCCCTTTGTTAATTTAATTATATAATGAAGTTGTGCAAAAGAATTTTTTATAAAGATCTTGATCAACCTCTGCTAATAAACGGAGCAAAATGCAAAAGTATCATTTAAAAAAAATAATAAAAATTCGTTTTATCATCATAATGTTCCAAACCCTTCACATTTTTCACTGTTTATTTATCATTCACTATTTAAATTAAACATATTAATTAGTTAGTATTTATAAACCATTAAGCAGTTTAGAATATTTAATTCCTAGTTTTGAAACTACATTCTTTTAAAGACAACTTTATTTTTATTGTTACTGAAACTATTTCTTTTTTCACTTATCAGCAGGAACAGGTCCTTGGTCATTACAATCATATTTTAAACAGTTTCTGATTCAGGATATTATGAATTTTTTTCACAAACTCTCCAAACCAAGGTTTTCCACAAAAGTCCAAGAGCGATAATTTTTTATGACTTTTCAGGAAATCTTGAAAACATTGCTCTGTGTTTCCAAATTTACAGAAGAAAAAAAAATGCCTGGAATCCAGGAAATTCTGGAATAATCTTTAATTTCTTTATTAAACCATCTAAAGTTTATTTATTACTCGAAGTCATTATGTATTTACTCTAATGAAGTTTTAAAATATAGTCGAAATATTAGGATACCTTACGGTAACTTTCGCAAAAAATAAATATTTTGCACGAAGATGTTCTTAAGCCAGCAATTGACGCAAATGTTCTCAATCAGTTTGCTTAGAAAAGTTAATTTTCATAGAGGGCGTCTTTTTTCTTGTCCTCCCCCTCTCCCCCTAGCGACGCAGAAATAAGCGGTTAAATCCGATACCAAGCAGCTGTGGTCTTCAACATCACTTGCGTTTGAATGTTCGATGAGAGGAAGTCGATTCTTAGCTTCACTGCGGAGCTTCTTCCGCCGCACGAAACATGTGCTTCACGAACACATCGTATACTTTGCACGAGTGCATTATGGGTACTTGCGATAAATCGTTTCATGAAATAAAACTGATGTCTAAGATTTTAAAACTTGTTGCTTATAAGAAAAATTGAAATTATACATTCCGTTAAAGATCGTTAATAAATTTCGTTTGTTATAAAGATCGAACTCAAAGGAAGAATAAATAAAATTATATGAACTTGTTGCATATATATTCGAAATTTTTAAGGAATGTAATTTATACATATGTTTGTTAACCAACCAATTGTAATCGGACCAGCTCAAAATACATAAGTGTAAATAATTTACGAAATTATACAATCGTATACATTAAATATATTATACGATAACAATATGACTGAAATGAATATTTTACAAATAAGTTGCTTCAAATCTGATGCTGAACATGTGCCAATATATAGTTTAATGAAACATGTTTTAAGTGAAATCATGCTTAAAAATTTTTGAAAAGTATTTCTTGGCAACGTACTTCTTGTTAATAAGTATACTTTACTTCTTGTTATGAGTAGTCTTGTTATTAAGTAAGATAGTACTTTTATTGTGCTAAGAATACGTTATGGTTTGTTTTAAAAGTACGTCAGACTGTATAAGACATATATCACTATAAAAGATCATGCTGAAGTCAGGATAAATAAACTTTGAAGAATAATACGCTCCACAATGTGTCAGAGAGGGATGTTTATCGTCTACCTTTGGTTACAATTTGGTAAGTAGTAAATTACAATATTGAATTTATTTGGAAGTAGCTCAAGCAATAAAATAAAACTTTTTAACCCTTTAACGCATAATTTTTATTAAACTTATTTTTCATACTATTTTCATGATTTTGTATTAATTTAGTAAAAAATAAGTGCAAAATATTATTTTTAGCATTTTAATGAATTATGGTTATGAAATACAGCGAGTAACACTGGTGTCCTTTTCTGTACTAAAGGTAAAACCTTACAAACTCGGCTGGCTCACTTACAAACAATAATTTTATAAATTTGCTCTTGTTTGCAGTTATTTAGATCTAAGAGAAACAGTTATTCATCATTGAAATTTCCTTAATTTATAAAATCAATTATTGATAAATTTTCAAATGTGAATGGAAAAAAATTAAAACACCTTTTTTTTAGCACAAATAAAAATTTCCATAAGCTAACAGATTTTTTAAGAAACTGTTATGCTGTATTTTATAATTAAAAAAATAACAAAATATATTTTTGCCTAAAATAAGACAGGGTTAGAGAAAATATAAATAAAATGAACACCGGTGTCCTATTTGAGCCAAAGGGTTAACGGATATTTTTTAATATGTATAGATTTTTAAGAGAAATTCTATTGAAGTGATTTTTCCTGAAATGAAATTTTTTAGTAGATATCATGCGTCAAATTTCTTATAAATTTGGCGGAAAGTTTGAAAACATTTATGTTTGGATAAATTTATCCGACCTAATATTTACTGTATTCGTACAAAAGTTTTAACACTGGGATGAATGTATACTTATACTCTGTATGACGTATCAGGTAAATTTTGTATCGGGAGTTCGTGTTTTACGGTCGATGTTAATTCTTAACTCATTCTTCTGCAAATAAAAATTTTACTCATTTTGTCTTGGATAAGGTTATTATTTTATTAAATTTTTGGAAAATTTTTTTCCTGTTTTCTTAGAATCTGAAATTCAATAAATTAAAATCAAAAACATTTTGTAAAACAAACATTGGTATTAATATTACAGATCTTTTGAGACCTTTATTGTCTGTTTGTATTATTTTTTCCTTTTTGTGAAATGAAAGTTTTTTTTTGATGAATATAAGCTATTGATAAATATCGCATGATGAACATTTAATGTAAGAAAAACATTTTAAAAAAATAGTAAGCAGCATCAATTTGAAAATTTTTTTTGAAGTTCAATGCGAAAAAATATATAAAATTCAATTTTTAAGAAAAACGTGTAATGTTTCCTTTAAAGTGGTTTTTAACATTCAGAAGAAAAAAAGTTATCTGTTAAACCTGTAAAAGTTATCTGTTAGTTATCTGTAAAAGTTAAAACATTTCAAATATGAAATTGAAAATCTTTAAATGTTTAAACAACTGTGATTTAAAATTTTCACTATTACGATTTAAAACAAAACTTTAAAAGTTTGAAACCTAAATTAAACCTAAGTAAACGTAACTTAAATATATACTAATATTTGAATTTTAGAATTTTTATAATCTTCCATTTGTCAAACCAAAGAGAGCTCCTAAAATATTTTTTTTAACTTCATATTTAATATGTTACTTTAAACAATTTTGCCATTCAAATTATATATTTATTTGAAAAGAATTCTACCGAGCGCATATATATTAAACACTTCTACAAGTACTTTAAATGCACGTATACTTTTTTTGTGCATAAACAAAAATCAAATTCTAATAATGGATTTTAGAATTTTTGTCATAAAAAATATCACTGATTTGTTTTTGCTTTAGATTCGTGATTAAAATTTTTTAACTCTTTAAATAATAGTTTCAATTCCTCATTGGAAATTAAAAATGATTTTTGAAGGTACTCTAGTTTCTCTCTTTATTTATGGACTGTTTGTTGTCAAAAATTAAGTTATTTTTTAACACAGGAAAAATTATTAATTTTACCAGTAAATATATTTTCAAACTTTCAATCCCATTTATATTAATAAAGCGGAATTTTTATACGTATGAATTTTATACGAACTCGCAATTCTCTACCGATCCGAAGCGAATTTAATGTAATTATTAGGGGGACCAGAAAGTAATGTCGTTTCGGCTCATTAAATATTCGTTAAACTTAAAAACCAATTCATTCTTTTTTTTCCATTTCGATTCATTTTCGATCCGTCATTGAAAGGTTGTTGCCAACGAGAGTGAATACATTCTTGATTAAAAATAAAATCTTGATAGCAGATATCAAATGCACCGAAACGACATTACTTTCCTGCCCCCTAATACAAAATACAAAAAACAATCCGTAAAAGAAACTGTCTATGAAAACTCTCTTTGACCACTGAATCTACCGCCCCAAGAATTAGTTTTCCACAAGATATGATAAATATTTTAGGATATGAGTGATTTGCTAAGTTGCAGATCCAATCAATCTAAAACTAGTTTTGTTGAGTTATTTGTCTTCGATTACCGTTGTTAGATATTCATAAGTAAAATCAACATCATATGAATAAAAACAATTTTACGATGTATGGTAATGACGTCACCAAATTCCTATTTAAAATAGTGTAATGAATAATGGAGCCACGAGTTTCATATATTAATACTTACGCTTTTAAATCTCTATGAGTTTAAATAATGGGAACTTAAAAATAACTAATAAAATAAAATTAGAATTGTCAAATAAGCCATGTTAAAGTTGGGGTTAAGTGAATATCATAGATTCAATAATATGCATAATAGGGCGTATCGAAAAAATCGAAATTTCCTAGATCTTTTGGCGGTAGTGCAGAAAAGATGAGAACACCCATCATTAAAAATTGTGCGGAATATCAAAACTCTGGGTCAATATCTTCTGTAGCCTCAGTGGGCCGAAAGTTCCAAAAATTGGACAAAAATCATTAAAATAAAAAAAATAATAAACAAATCCTTATTTCGTTTATCGGTTTGGGGTAGTGTTTAAAAGTTGCTATTCTATAACAAATACAACCACAAAAAATTTTAGAATTATATTTTAATATCTTCTGCCGCCTCATCGCAACAAAATTTTGGAAAATGAAGGCAAAATTTTAAGTAAATAAACTTCACACTTACCTCATTTAAATAGAAAGAGAGACTCTATTTTACGTCTTAAACATACAAATGACAAAAGCATTACTGTTTGTAATAATTTTTTGTCTCAAATTTTGACATATGTTTTCTGGGTTCTAGTGTCGCTCTAATAAATCTATCCCTGTGCAGCGGCCCAACTGTTTTTCCAGAAGCTGCAGTAACTAGCTTCACAATCCGCTCCACTGCTTGTGTGTGTGAAGGAAATTTAATAAATTCCCAGCAGTCCATTGGCATGCCGTCCTTTATCATCTTCAGAAGTTCTTGAGAACTGATCTCTCTGAGAACGGGAGGCGATGTCACATAACAAGCTTGCCAGTCAGTGAGATCTACATAGTCTGCTGCTTCAAAGTCAAGAGCCGGAATAACGAATTTGCGAATACAATTTCCTTCTGGGCTAACTTCCCTTGCTTTAATAATCCGCCGAGCTGCAAGGGTCCTAATATGGCACCTCTCATCCGTTAACATGTCCAAAAGCATGTTTTCTGGAGCTGCAAAGTAAGCGTTGCGAGAAATAATTGGTTCGATTACGTCACGATACTTTTTAGGCAAGTAGCCAGAGGAATTGATGAAATGCCACAGGTGTCTTGTACCGTCTTTTATGGAATGATGAATCTTTATTCGGAACCATGAGGGTGCGTAGACTCTTAGAATGAATACAACTAAAGTTAGCAACTCGTTTAATGGGTCTAATGTAGATATATATAACCTCAGTATTCGATTAGCAGTTGTTAGCCAGCGAGCCAAATTCAATGTTCCTGGTTACCGGTTAGCTAGATTAGAACTACAAACGCCAGAACTAATGGCGGTGCAAATGTTTAATAAGTATTTCTGATCTGAACTGAGAGTGGTGTGATCAACATCTGGCATCTCGCATTCAATGCTATTAAAAGCAACAATTGAAAGCTTTTCGCATCCTTTGAGGTTCCGTCCAATGTCTCCGGTGTAAGATGTGGGGCCAGATGACTTGCCGTCAATCGACTCAAATAGGTGTCGTAATGGCAACTCATTGAAATGAAGTAAGCAGATAATCCATTGTACTGGTCTCTGAAAGTGCCGTCACACCCGAGAACAAAAAGATTACTAAAATCATCCGATAAATCACCTGTTACATATTCGTAAATGCTATTAGATATATGAAGACTAGATCCACTTACAGGCGTAATATGTCTCATGTGCGTAGAATCAGGCTCTGATAGAATACAGTAATGAGCTTCTACAATTGTTCTTTGGAACTGCTTACCCTCGTGTGTTTCTGATGTTAAAGTTTTGTCAGTTTTCCATATATAGTGGAACGATTTTCATTTGATTTTGAGACAATTTCTTTGTAAATTCTCGATTTTTCCCGCCATATTTTATTTTTGTCTGTAACGAGGCTGGTATCTGATTCCGATATTAAACCCAAATCTTTCATAACACTAGATGCTATAGCAGCTGTGGCTCTGTTGGATACACCATATCTTTGACTGACAAGAACTGTGTTTTCCAGTTTTAAACACACTCCTTAAAAATCGCGCATTTACAGGCAGATATGTCAAATAGTTTTTTTATTTCCGTTTTATAGTTCTCAACATTTTTCAGAGCAGTCGCACTTTTTTCCACGCGTTTTATATTTTTCATTATCGATCGACATTTTCCATGCTATACGTGTATCATATCACAAACACGTTTATGTGAAACTGAAGGAATGGATGCTTCGACGTATAAATTTTCAGTCTTCAAAGCCACAGTTTCTGCAATAACTGAAAAGCGTGGTTCTTTATTTCCACCAGTTTCGCAACCAATACGCCATCTCTCGTGAGCGCAACATCGTATCATGTCCTCATGCGTTGGCAGCATTCTTAAAAAATCTTTTGGTGTTCCAAAAATAGGGCATTGCAACGTTTGCCGTTTTGAAAATTTTGATTGTGATGATTTTGGCATTTCTAATA